TTGGCCAGTGCCTTCAGCACCCTCGGATGGAGCTCATCCAGGCCAGCCGACTTAAAGGTATCCAGTTCTTCCAAGTGACTCTGCACCATCTCAGGGTCTACACATGGTAGTCTGGCGCCTTGCTGCTGCCTCTCTACAACCCCAGTGAGAGACTTGTCGTGCCCTTTGCTTAGGCACACTGAGGCAAAGAACTCGTTGAGGAGTTCAGCCTTGTCCCCTCTGTCTGTCACCAATTGTTTCTGCCCATTTAGCAGGGGTCCTATTCCTTCCTGGGCCTTCCTTTTACTCCCTATATATCTAAAAAACAATTTCTTGTTGTCTTTTACTTGGGTTGCCATCCTCAGCTCCATGGTAGCTTTGGCCCGTCTAACTGCCTCCCTACAAGCACGAGAAGAGGAGGTATATTCGTCTTTGGTGATCTCTCCCTGTTTCCACTTTTTACGTGCTCCCCTTTTGGCCCTTAGGCTGCCCTGGATTTCTCTGGTCAGCCAGGGAAGCCTCCTGGCCCCTTTCCCTCTTTTACCTCGCACGGGGATCGTCTTGCTTTGTGCCCGAAGGATCGTTTCCTTAAGGCGCAGCCACCCTTCTTGGGCTCCCATCACTTCAAAACTCCTACTCTGCAGTGCATCCTTGACTAATCGCCTGAGTTCATTGAGATCAGCTTTCCTAAAGTTTAGCACTTTCACCCTGCTAGTTACCTTACCCACTCGACGTCTTATGGTGAATTCTATTATTAGGTGATCACTGTCCCCCAGATGGCTACCGATCTGGAGGTCCCCTACCATGTCATCCCCCGTTGCCAATACCAGATCCAGTATGGCATTCCCCCTAGTGGGACCGTGTACCTCCTGTGTCAGGTGGAGGTCCTGTACACAGGTTAGAAACCTGCGTGAGCGGTGGGACTTTGCTGTCTGTGACTCCCAGCAGATGTCCGGGTAGTTTAGGTCCCCCATGACTACCGCCTCTTTAGCTTTTATGGTCTCCGAGAGTTGCCTCAGGAGCCCCGAATCTATTTCTTCCCCTTGATGTGGGGGTCTGTAGCAGACCCCTACCACCAAATCCCTTTCTCCTTGCCCCCCATATAGCCTAACCCACAATCCTTCTATTTCTGGCATGGCTCTGTTAACCAGCTCTCATATGACCCCTAAGCTGTTTTGTTCCCTCGTGTGCTGTAAGCAGAATGAACACCCATTTAAAAAGCAAAGATATAGACACATGTAGAGATACAGTAGAAGAAGGAATGAAAACAGACCTACTGTACACTGATATTCATTATAAATATTCATGATAGACTGCCATTCACAACATAAAGATTCACCCAGTGCACAGGAAGAGCCTATGGCTCAATAAAAAAAATGTATGGGATTCATGGCACAACTTGTAAAATCACAGGAGTGAAATACAAAGGGAAAAAATGTTTGATATTATTTCCAGTGCACCAAAAGAAGCCAGACATCAAAGACAACCATTGGCTTAGTCAGTTTTCAGTCATGTGTAATACACCTGACATGCAGTTGGCGTTTTCCAATGTTTTTAGGATATTTCATCATCACACAAACAATATGAATGATGGGTCCCTGCAGCTGAACTCCTATGTCAGCCTAATCTAGGAGTTATCACCCCTGCAGCAAAGACTACCTATGTCTCTCTGTCTCTGCCCTTGCCTGTGAGTGTCTGGAGACAGTCATTTGCACTGAGATGTTCTAGGATTTTTTAATGGTCATTTCTGTCAACTGTAGGAGAACTTGTCTATCCCTTGGGGGGAACTGTAAAAAGGGCAGTGGGGGATATCAGTCTTTGAGCAACCTTGGTAGAGGGGGTAGGTTCCATCTCAGATTAAAGCAGAGCCCAGGTTCTAATCTATATCTCTCAGGTGTAAACTAGCCTACACACCTAGATCAAAAGGTTTTCTGTGTAGGTGATAGGGAGGTAAGAGCCCAGGTAAACTGAGCAACACAAAAAAAAGATGGGCTTCAGTTACACCCTGATTGCCTTGTCCTCTGTGAGAGATGCTCCTGAGCATGCCCAACTCATTTGTTCCTGCTTACTCACACCAAACCTGGAAATATGTGGTGAAGCCACTCTGGATATGTCCCTTGTGGCTGCTCTGAAGTCTTTTCTGTCTTTGGTGTGCTTGAAAGTGACTGTGGGGTACATCCCTGGAGTGGCTTCACTCCTGTGTCTGGCACGCATGAACAGAAGTCAGTGAGCAGGCCATCTTTGAGAGTGGTCCTCCTGGCCACGTTTGAGAGTGGCCCTCCAGGAGGGCACCAGGGACATGATACAGGCATACTCTAGGAGTCCGGTTACCTACTAACCCCCTTGTGTTCTGATGTGCACCTGTGCCACGCTGGGGTAAAACCCTGCTGTTTGTACTGGGCTGCTTCAGACCCACTTTGTGCAGATAGGAGTGATGATGCCAGGATGAGGCAACAGCCTGTTAGAGTTAACTTGACCAGTGTCTAAAAATCAAATGCAATTTCAGAGCCTATTTCTGAAATACAGAACCATCCCTTGCCATGCCACTGAAGATAAGAGTGCAAAGGTATTGACTTTGCAACCAAGGTCCAGCTTCAGGTTTCCTTCAGAGCGGAGTAAATGTGCATGGGTATATGCTGCTGTGAAACTGGCCTAAAATCAGAAGCAGGCTTTGTGCATGTTTGAGTTTGTTTTCCAGTTACAAAACAGGATGAAACATGTTGCACAATTCTGTGTACACTGATTCTGTCATTACTCACATGGGTTTTCCACCAACACGATTCCTGATTCTGGAAGCATAACCCCAGTTTTACACTGGTACAAAATGAAACATCAAACCTGTGCTATAAGCCAAAAACTCAAACGTGCAGCTGGATCATATGCTTACCAAATAAATTAGTGTAAGCTCATGAATATGGAAGACGACAGGCCTGTTCCCCACCCCCATGCTTGTCCTGTCCTACGTGCAGGGCATTGTGTTCTCCAAAGCTGAGGAAGATAAAGTACCTGCTCTGCCAAGATCTGCTGCTGCTGCCTTTGCTCCCGTAGAAACTGTTGCTTCTGTTGTTCTATCACGTGGAGCTGGGCCCTTTGCTCGATCAGCATCTGCTTCATGATGGCTGCTTGTGGCTGGTTCCCCAGGAAACTGGGACCTCCAGGGCTTGTACCTGTGACCACATTGCTGGACCCTGGTGGTATAGAAGGCTGCATAGGGCCTGTGGTCCGAGACAGTCCCACCTGGTGCTGCTCCTGCACAAAGAAAGAGATACAGCCTTGCTATTCAGTGTACTCTGCATAGAAGGGGAACAACATGACTGAGTTCCAGTGGATTTGCTTTGGGTATGGCACATCTTGGAAAAGGCAGAGTCCTTTAAAAAAACCTTCCACCCCAAAAATCTCATATTGAAAATGAAATAGGCAACAGGTGAATTTGAATACTTAGCCTCTAAACAACACAGTGTTCAAAGTACTAATGCACAGACATTGATTAAATAAATCCTTACATTGGACCTGGCAGGGGAAGTATTTACAGAAAATGGGAAAAGTGAGACAGAGAAGTCATCAAATCATAGAAAATTAGGGTTGGAAGGGACCTCAGGAGGTCATCTAGTCCGACCCCTGCTCGAAGCAAGAACCATCCCTAGTTGTATCATCCCAGACATGGCTTTGTCTAGCCAGGTTTAAAAAAAAAAAGTGAAGTCATTTGCTTAAGGCCACATGGCTTTCCACAAAAAAAACAGGTGTTAAAGAACTTCTATGCACCAGTCCTAGGCTTGTTCTTTAGTAGTGCCAACCACAAGCATTGAAGATTCATAAATTAGGACCTAAGAATTAAATTGTCCAGATTTTTTTATAAGTAAAAATCAATAACGTTGGGCTCTTTCATTTCTACTCAAGGCTTTGAGCCATTGGGGTCATTTTTCAGGCTTTTCCTCTCTATTCATGTACACTAGAAATATACCAAAAAAAAAAAAGTGAAGTTTCCAAGTGAGCTAATCACTTGGCTCCAGCAGCTGAGACTTTAAGAAAATAAACCTCAAATACTGTGAAACCTGCTATAAAATCAGAGAGCTAGTAACACAGAGATTGCTAAATATATTCAGACACAGGATCGCTACATCCCACTGTTTGAAGTTCACATTCCAGCTATACTGTGAGAACTTATGGCAGTGAAAGATGAGAGTAAAAGAAGTGGGAAACCATCATCCCATTTATACCTTTTCCATACCCTCTCAGCTGCTCCAGTCCAGTGGGAAGTACAGCTGTGTCAGAGACAGGAGTAGAAAAAAAGCAAGAAACCAGCTAGACTATGAATACATTTGGGCATCTTGCACTATTAACCCATCCCTACCCCCTTTACACTTTTCCATTGGCACTGTATCCAGAATTTGATCCACGTTGTGGAGAGGGCTAGGAGGAACGCATTGCAAGCACCATGCTGAGTATCTACCTTGCTCTCCCACGTTTCATCATTTAATTAGAAGATCCTGCTGGGGTGTCTCTCAAGAGCTCAGCGCCTAATTCTAGGAAACTACAAGGGAAGCGAGATGTGTGTTTTAAGCAAATAAAAGTTCCCCCAGCCTCCCCAAACCAGGATAGTTTATGAGCTGTTGAGAGGCTGTAAGCATGTTGCACTACCCTAGGCACTATTCAAAGCCCGCAGAAACCATGAGTTAGGGGATCAGGTACCCCACAAGACTCTCTGCTTAGGAGTATGTTGTGCCCCTATTTGTTAACATATGCACGTTTGTTTAAAATAGGGAGGCCTGGATGAGAAAGCTTGTCCCTGAAAATGGCCAGTGTTGCTGTTCTGCCGCAGTTCCAGCAGATGGTGTTGTCTGCCTGATCCTCTGCCATACAGTCTGCTTAGGCGATTGCTGCCCTGACTCCCCCCATCTTTCTGACTCCCCCCCACCCCTCCGCCCCCCCCATACCTGCAGATGGCTTAATCATGACTACTGTTCCTCCTCCTCCTCTTCCCCCCCTGCCCACCCCCTCAGTACGTCTGGGATAATGCTGCTAACGTAGAGCTAGGCAGTCAAGTGTTACAGAGTAGAGCAGGTAGCCTGGCAACTGAGAGTATAATACTGAACAGATGGTGTTCGTACAGCATGATGGACATCACACAGGACAGCCTGAGACAATCCAGGAATTCCCTGGTGATTCGAGGCCCTTTTTACACAAAATGAGCTTGCTCACCATTGCCATGTAGCTTTTGGCTTATTTTCACCCCCCGCCCCCAGCACATACTCCACCTCTTATTGACATCGCACCAACAAACTGCTTCCTTATCACTCACTTCACTTACAGCCCAAAGGGCAGGGTACTTGTTGGCAGTGGTGGAGGAGGTAGTGGTGGAGACACCATGCAGTGGTGAAAATTCAGGGGGCCCGGGTGCGTGTGCTGAAGCGTAGCTATTTTGAACGTGGAAAGGAGGGGAGCGCTTTCCGAACCCTTGTTGCAAGGCATTTGACCGTTCCTCAAGAAAGATAATCTGAGGTTGGTGCGAGTGTGTGTGGGCATGTGTGTTTATGGGAGAGAGAAAGAAAGAAAGAGTCAGTCTGTGGGTGTGTACACTATGCCTTCCAGGTAACCATCTTCATGGAGAATGTAATGGGTCATTTGTGGGACATTCTGATTAATGCCCGGATTATCAGTCCTGATACCCTTGGGTGTTATTTAGCCCTCGCCATAGCATGGATCTTTAAAGAGAGCACTGAGAGATTTAAAAGGGAGTAATAGAGATTGTAACCTGCCAGCCCCACATCCCTCACCACACCCTGTTTTCCTAAACAAAGAAACAAACAACTCTTCCCCCTGGTGAGAGCTGCAGGCAGAACTGCAGTGCATCGGTTCTGGCTCCAAATTCGATGTGATACAGAGGGGACTCCTGACACTTCTTCTACAGAGCATGCTGCTATTTACTAATGAGCTCGGGAAGCCGAGACATACCCAGACTGTCAAATTTCCAAACACTGAACAACGCATAATATATGTCTGGGCTCGGGAAGGAAGCGGGGGAAGAGGGAGCAAGCTCTAGGAGCATTTTCAGGAGGGAATAGAAAAAAAGGAAAGACAATAGTCTTTCCGCTACAAAATTTACCAGGACGTAACAATAGGTTTCTTGGAAAAATCAAAACAATAGTTGCTATTTCTCACAATCCAAGTGAAGGTGCTGTTGTATTTTATTTAGTGGTGCTGAGTTTTTTAAAACCTTTTTATATTAAGCAATTTCCCTACCACCGTCTTCACAGTTTGCACCCACTGCGGTGGATCCAGGACTAACCTACAAGGCTTTTACAGCATTGACTGTCACACTCTTCATAGCATTATGGAAGCTGTATCCAGTTTAACCACTTGAGGGGATCCAGTTAGGAGTGTGTAGCTTAGGATTGGTTTGGGATATTGGCAGCAGCAGACCCAAGTTCAGACTATATGGAAAAAAACCCAAAGAACCAGGAGTTTGAAATAAAGAGTGCAAGTTGTTAGGTACTAAGATACATTACTGAGAGAAGGTGGCAACGGGCATTTTATAAGACAGAAAGACAGACATAAGTGGCAAGAGAACCACAGGAGGGATTTTACAGTATGGATGTGATAATGCCTTGCGGGCAGTCAGATACTACCAGGATGAAGTAGGCTTTGAATGCTAGGCAGATAGAGCAGATATGGGTGATAGCTGGATTAGACAGACAGAGAGTCTTCAATTGAAGAAGATTAAGACAGAAAATGTATCAATGACAAAATAGTCTAAAAAACACAGCACTTTCAGATACGTAATTTGCTACCCTGAATAAGGAGGATCTCTGCTATCAACTTTGGCATTTTTACACAGACTATAGAAGGCAACCAATGTAACTACTGTACTACAGAAAAAAATCTGCTGTCTCCCTTTGAGGCCTGCTTAGGTACTAGGGCAGAACTACTAAAGGAAAATGGCTAACTGAAGCCTTCTTTAAAATTAATTTATGGGTTTTTTTGTTTATAAAAGCTTCAGGCAATTTACCTCTTTCCTCTACATTCTTCTTAGTTCAAAGGAGTTGGAAGATTTTGGAATTCTCTTCTGTACATCCACTTACACAGTCTTCGTCGTGATCATATCTGAGCACCTCATAATCACTCAGACATTTTGTCCCTCCTACAAGGCAGGCAAATACAGTATTCTTCCACATGGAGAACTGAGGCACAGGACTGATTAAATAATTTCCTTCAAAGCCACAAAGGACTCAGAGCAACCTTTCTAGACTATCCTCTTAGTATAGCACTGTACCCTTTCCCACGTATGTGACCACCATTTTAATGCTGCCACTGACCATTCTGCCCTTTCCATCCTCATTCCTCAGCACTTCCTCTATGGCCAGGTGCTAGATGTGCATGTGTCTGCAAAGGAGTCAGTTCCAAGGTGAGACATGGATGCACACCACTGGGGCTGACGTGACCCCTCATTCCTTAAGACCAGAACTCCGCAATACAAGGTCCTCAGAGTAGAAACTGTCTTACTTCAGTGTCCAGCAAGTGCCTGGCAGACAGGGTTTTCTAACGTAAATAAATCAGTAATAATAAAAATGCTCTCGATCTCTACTGGTGCCTAAGTAACTTAGGGTGCAAGCCCTGTGAGGGGCTAATTGCCCCCGACTAGGATTGCTATCAATGTTTCCACATTAGACTCAAACTGTTCTACGGAGCAGCGAAGCAGTTACGCACCCAGAGGAGCCTACTTCATTTTTGGACACTCTGTGAAAGGTAACCCAGGGTCAAATTTAGATTCCCCTACCTCCGAATCACTCTGAGTTTTTATGGTACCCATCTGACTGAAAAAAAAGAGAATAATACCAACATCAGCTCATTATCTCCACTTCTGCACAAAACCAGGCCAACAAAAGGGTTAAAATCAGTGCTTGAGTATACCCTGGGAAAGGAGAATCAGCCTTTCTGCATCAAGGTCAGGTTTTCAAGGACTTTTTGGAGGAAATAACAAGAAAATACAATTTGTCCACATCTTCACTTTGCGCAGTTATTCCCTGAAGGGCTCTCTGCAGAAATGCAGTTCTCAGATATTTAGGTTGGACTTTTTTTTTTTTTAATGTACATCCTGGTTTAAAAGTTTTCTCCCCATGCACTTCCCTATCCCTCCCAGCCCTTCCTCATGCTGTGTTTTAAAGCTGGTTGAACATTCAAACAGCACTGTAACGGTCAGGGTCGTGTCACCTGCATGGTGGAGCACAGCAGCTGCTATAGCTTGCTGAGCA